AGTATTGATGAGGTCAGAACTTTTTTCTAACAGGCTAAAAAGTTAGACATTCTCATAATTGCCGAAAACAGACAAAATTATTTTTTTATCGACAATTACAGTGTACATTCGACGATTCCCACTCTGAAAGCCATAAAATGTTCAAATTTTATCACCAAATACAACTTTTAGATGGCAACCTTTAGATCAAAGAATGAATTTAAAACATTAAATTATGATATACTTCCAAACTCACGTGATTCATCTTCAATAACATGCAACAGCTTACTATGCGAAAGCTGTTGCATGTTATTGAAGATGAATCACATGAATTTGGAAGTAAACTTAATGGATGAAATTCGAATAATTAATAAAGCTAGGAATAAACTTCCACAAAGCATCATTCCAAATTGTTTTAAAAAAGCTGGTTTTGGTCAGCAATTTGTTGATTTGTTGACGTTGACAATAACCTAACTTTCTTAGGACGACATCATTGCTGAAGTAAAGAACCAGGCGCAAGAAATAAGCGATAATGATGAAGAAGAAATACTGTAAATTCCGTCAATGACAAATATTCTGCACCCTAACGTGAACGGAAGCCAGAAAAGCTTTCGATGTTGAAGGGGCTTTCTAAAAACTACATCATTCATAAAACAAGATACTTTCGAGGCGGACGGTTCCATCGAAAATATTATTGATCATGAAATAATGAATCTTCGACAACAAATTCGTGTACATGTAACGTATTTTTTCATTAATAGTGTCAATATTTTGTTATTTTATGCATATACTTATCCAAAAATTAATGTATTTATTGATAGGTCTAACAATACTGTTTGTACGGTAATATTCCCCAATCTTATTAAAATAACATTTTCGACCTCGAAATTTGTTTAACCCAGCAATTTTTATCTGTTTTTTCACTTCGAGTTATCCATAGTCTACAGTATTTATTCTTACTAAAATATTTAATCCTTAACATTAATTCATCAATAAAAAATCTAAAACAGAAGTAAACAATACTTTTGATATCATCATTGCTTCTTTCTAATAATCTCTGTAATAGCCTACATAATCTTTTAAAACATAATTAAATAATTTAAAATAATCAAACATTATCAATATTTTACAATGTTTTTATTCCTAAAATCGATTGTTTATATTAATATAAAAATATTACTTTTAACTAAAAATAATTTATAATAAATTCTGCAAAGAGCAGAAGATTAAAGAGAAGAGAAACAGCAAAAGAGCATTATTTTTAACAAATAAAGAATTTTAAATTTAAAAACATCTAAAAATATTCTTACAAATATAAGTTACATACGAATAAAATAACATATATATAGATTTTCAACATTAATTTTCTTTCAGAAATTTTTATATTCAAGGAATGTATCGATTTTTACAAATTTCTATGTGAAATCTTCCTAATTTTATACTTTATAAAAAGTATTTTTAAATATAAAACAATGTTAATTAATATACATTTCAAAATGTCGTTTCATTAAAAAAAAGACATTATTGATAATTTAATGATTAATAATTATAATATCATTATTGTAATTGTTATAATTAAAAGTGATTATATTTCAAAATTAGTGAAACAATAAAGATATAACAATTTATAACAATGATAATTAAATATTAGTTAAGCAATAAATTTGACTGTTTCGTCATTAATTAAGCACTTGTAAGAAAATTCTTTTGTCAAGTAATTGATGTCATAAAAATTAAAATGATGATGTCTTACTTCACTAATTAAAATTTTCTGCCATTGCATAAAAAAATAAATTTAATGAATATCAAATTTTGTAAAAAATATAAAAACTGTAACGATATAAAATTCATATTTTTGATTATTCATAAGGAACTTCATAAATTTACAAAAAATATCTCTTTTATCATTATTTAAATCTTTTTTTATGTATAAAAATAATCAAGTAAATTTTAAAAATTTTCTTTTAATGTTTTTAAAAGAGAAAATCAAAATTTATCAATATCGACTTGTTTAAATAAGTAAAATAAAACAAAAAATAATAAGAAGAAGAAAGAAATCAATTGAAGGCGATTTTCTGGTGAAATATTTTTGTAGGAGCAAAAGGAAGTTTATATATGTGTTGTGGGTTAAGCTGTTAATAAATAACAAAAACAGACTTTCTTTTCCCCATTTTCTATCGTGAGTTTTGATCTTTATAAGTGTGGAAAAACCATTCTTCAACACAATATTTTCTTTTGGATTTTCTCGTATAAAATTCGCAAAAGAATGAATAATTTTACTCTGAATTACAATCATTGTAACCTGATATCTAATTGATCATTTTAAAAAGTAAAAAATAAATCATATAATTTATTAATTATTAATAAAATTATCAACGTTTGCTGAAGAGAAACGATTTATTATTTCTATCAAATTAATTGTTTGTAGAAAAAATAAAAATTTAATTTAATTTTCAGAAATAAAGAAAAAATTACGAAGAAGGAACAATAAAAATTTTATAATGTATTTAAATTCCAACGTGACATAAAAGATAAACTACAACGTTTAGGAATGCTCAAATTTAGAAAAAAAAAGGTAGATGAAAAAGAAATTTTCTTACTTGTAACACTTTTTCTTATAAAATTTAATTGATAAAATTCCATTTAATTGCATGTTCATTGATAAAAATGCACTCGATTATTGTCTTATCTGTAATTTATGAAATGCTATTTTTTGTCACCCTCATAAAAAGATTATGACAAATTCGAGATTATTTTCTAATTCTAATCAAATTACAGATAAGTGTGAACATTTTGTATTAATAAAATAAGATATATTATATAAAGAATATTTTTTAAGTCCGGATAATGTAAGATAAGGATATAAAATGACTTATGTGCTTAAATGAATAAAAATACATCTGTAGAAAAGTGGGATGCGTGACATTTGAAATCCTTCTTTGTGGAAATTTTCCGGAAATAAGTTTTTTGATCATTACTATCATAAAGAAAGCAATCAAAAGTTTCAAAGTTTACATTAATAAATTTTGAATTTTTCTTTTATTTTTTCTGAAAATAAAGTTAATCAAAGTTTCTCTTGTTTGCTTTAGAAATAATTAAAAATATACCATCCTCTTGATATTATATCTACCCATCTAATTATATATAAAGATATGAAACGATCGACGATTTTATAAATATTGTTATTCAGTTTTGCTTTTATTGATTTTTATGAATTGTTATGATAAATAAACGTAAATATAGTTTGTCGTTTAGAAAAGAATGCATTAGATAGTCTTTAAAAAATATAACAAAAGAAAATTATAATTAATGATAAATTTAAGCGCCAGACTGTCTAAAAAGTAATGATAAAATGTTACATTCGTATTTAATAAGAGGACAATTAGAAGCTGAAATTAAATGAGGCAATGAATATGAATGGCGGATATAGAGTAAGAAATGCAATCTTAGCAGTTCTTAATTTAGCAAACTTTATGAAAACTGCTAGACAGCATACATTATAAAAAGTCATTTTTCATAATTTATTAAAATTTAAGCAAATTATATTGCTTTCGTTTGTCATTTTTTCGTTAAATTTTTGTTAAAATGATAATAATGTAATTAGCCAAATACAAAAATCGGTATGTTTCTTATATAACCCGCAGACAGACAACAGGCAAAATGAAAATATTTACATGTTTTCTATATGCAGTAAAAGTAGTTTAGAAATGCAAAATCGGCTGAAGTTATATCATTGAAGCAGCATTAACCACTTTCATGATGTCAGATGATGTTTATTACCTCATATAAACTGACAAAATCTTTGAACATTTTCTAGTTAAAAACTAGCTGAACATATATATCAATAAAAAAAATATTTTTATATAAAAATTCAACAGTGTATATTTTTTATATATGTTTTTCTATAAAACTTACTTATTTTTATAAATTTCTATTAAGATAAGTGAAGTTAATTGTGTACACAGTACTTTAAATTGTAACTATTAACATAGTTATAATAGTTTGTTATAATATATATAATTATGCTAATTTTAACAGGCCAATAGTGCGAATTTCTCACCATTAACATTAATAAATTAGAAATGGGTGATTAAATTCACTTTCTTAACTTTTTTTGCTAAAAATAACTATAAATAAATTTAAAAAGTTAATTGATACTCGATACTTAAACAACGCTGTAAACACTGTTGAAAAATTAACTGTACTGAATTTAATTGCATTATCTTAAGTCAAGAGACATATATCACTAGAGACAATTTTGTTTAGTATGTGGTAATTCAATAAAAAAATACATACAACATGTTAATTCTTTACTTGATTAATTAGTGATTAATCGAATTTAAGAGTAATTTTTTGTTAATTCTCTTAAAGAAACACTTCCTACTTTAGTCAAATTTATTTAAAAACTTGATTATATAATATAATTAATTCTATATTTAATTATTTTAAAGTTTTATAAATAAAGACTGATTTTTATTTTATTGTAACTCATTGAAAGAATATCAATTATTTAAATTCTATGAATTTCTCAATAATTTATGAACTACTTTTTAATTTTAAAATATCCCTTCTTAATATATTTGAATACTTTTTGCAAAAATATATGTATCATCTATCATCTATCATATATTCATATGAATATTCACGTATTTTGTTTTCTCATATTGATATGAGAAAACAATTAAAACAATTATCATAATGATATGAGAAAACAACCTTTAAATCTGAATTATTGATATTAAGTCGATAATTTTTTTAAAGACCACTTTCTACAATTGATTTTAAGTTGGTGTTATTTAATTTAATTAATCTTTTAATGATTTTATAATAATAAAAAAATTCTCATTATGCCTTAATTACGATTAAGAATATAATCAACTTTCAGAAGTTTAATAATTTTAAAAAAAGTTAAGAATTAAATATTAATTTGATAAAAGAATTAACTTAATACACAAATTTAAAAATATAAATTACAAATATAATAAAAATAAACTTTTCAAGTAGTAATTTTTATTACCGACCTTTTAAAGAATTTTCATCTCCTATTTGCTTATTCCATTTAAGTGTTATTGTTGATGAAGTCGATGCTACTAATTCTGGAGTTGGGGTTTTTGGTAGATCTATAATTAAATTTAAGAGTTTTATGTTTCAAGTGAAATTTAATTAAATGCGGATAATTTTATTTACATTAAAATATATTATTTTATATTTCACTTTGCAACTTGACAGTCCGTTCTCATAAATTGCTAAATGAATTATTCTACGAACCTTCTTTTAAAGTTTGTACAATTATATCTTGTGAAGGAGGTCCCGTTCCTTTAGAATTGAATGCTTGAACTCTAATACTGTATTTTGTGAATCTTTTTAAATGATTTAATATTGTTTCTTCTTTAAACTTTGAACCAACTTCTAATGTTTTATACGTGTGAGGCTCTTTCGATTTTTCTTCTCTGTATCCTACATAATATCCTCTTATTTTTCCATATTGCATATCTTCTTCGGGTGGCTGTAGGAATAAAATTCAATCAAAGCTTATTTTTCATTTGTTATCCAAAGTATAATCTTGTAAATATCATAGAAAAAAAAATAGATTTAATAAGAAAATCTTACACTCCAAGTCACTTTTATCGTACTAGCTGATAATGGAGTAGCATGAATAGAAAGAGGAGGACTACCAGGAGCTGGAATAAATATTAAAAATTCAACCAAATGCTATTATATATTATGACATTAATTCTCATTACTTATATTTAAGTTTATCTACTTTGAATCCATTTTGTATAGTTAATATTACCTTCTTCGTCAGTCTCAACAGACACTTTAGCGGGCTGTTCGCTCTGACCAAGTGCATTAACGGCAATTAACTTAAAAATATATTTTGTTCGAGGATGTAAACCTGTCACCGACCAAGATGTTTCAGTCGCTGGGATGTTTAATGTCTTCGTCTTTTCTATAAGATAATGGGATCGAAAATAAGAAGTTTTATTTTTATCAAACTTTAAGTGATGTAAGTGAAAATATGTGTATCTTAGCTATTAGTTATTGTTTTCTAATGTAATATTTTAAAGTTTATTTTGTTTCTTAAGGATAATTTAAGATAATAAAATTAACCTGGTTTGGATTTATCTCGTCTCTGAGCTTCGTAATGAAGGAGATACTTTGTCAAGCGGCTATTTCCACTATAAGGTGGTGACCAACTGATGTGCGCTGTTCTACTCGAATATCCCGTAACTTTCAATTCTTGAGGGCTGTCAGGAGGTTCTGAAAATTATAAAATTGATCTGGAATGGTTTTTATTACAATACATTTATAATTAAAACCTATACTTGTATATTATTTTACATTAAGTATACGTACACCATTTCATACCTTGTATGAGAAGTTGAATATTCGTCTCATCTCTACCGAAAGAGTTAGATACAATACAAGTAAATAATGCCGAATCACTTCTTCCAGCAGTGTAAAGTATCAGTTCCGATATTGTAGCATTATTGAAAACAGTTTCTTGTAAATTATATCTATAAAATATCAGTTTTAAAAGATTTTAACTAATTAGAACAATTTTTAAATATCTTTAAACTCTAATTTCACACATTTAAAATCTTCCTGGGTTTATAAAACTAAGTTATTTACATTGTAATATTCTCTCTCATATATCCATCGCACACATACACACATTTTTAGTTACTTATGAATTCAAATAAAATCTCATTAAAAGATATCTTTATGTTTATGAAGACATTTAATGATAATTCAGATTATAATGAGCATCTATCGGCTTTTCTACCAAAACAAAACTAGTAAGAGTTTAACAATAAGGATTCTGTGTAAAGACCATTAAGACACATTAATGAAAGCATCGCGTAAGATATTTATTTATCATGGTCATTAAGGTTTCTATTGTCACAGTTTATTGTTAGAATTTTAATTCTTAACGATATAAATCTCTTTTATGTATACATATATATATATATTTCTTAGCGTTAAACTAAATAGAATAATTAAAACACACAATAAATCTATTTCGCATTAAGATAGACGACAAGCATCCTCTTCTGTAATTATTAATAATAATTTATTGCATTGTTGCTGAGAATATGATACTTTTGTTTCATAATCGCACAAAATAATTAACTGAATAAACAAATTATAAAATTAGAAGATCAAAAGGTTAAAAGTTGATAAGTAATTCGTGTATACTGTATTTTAATTATAATAATTTTTCTTCGTATTTCAAGTGAAAATTCTGTAACTAATTGAGCATTTATGAAAGGAATAAAAGCAACTTCCTCAAAAGATTTTAATAAAAATTGCCTAAATGATAAATTTATATTGTCAAAAAAAAGAATATGTTATAAACTTCATCAAATTTCAAAACTGATTTGGTGAATAATTTTTAATTAAGTTGACAATTTTTAATAAGATGGAGCATCTGTCAACAGTTTCTATCATGAGTGAATTGAATGTGTCAGAATTCATCTTATTTTTTGTTGCTTTATTGATGCAGAAAAAAACACTAAATTTGGATATTTTTCTTTAAGTTTAACAATAAATAATAATTTAAGCTTAAGTCATCTTAAAAGTTCGTAATTTTCGCCAGTTAAATACTTGAGAAAAAAAATAATTAAAATTAACAAAAGTGCATTGTAATTAATAGATAAAGCTTGTCTATAATTGTCATCATTTAAATTAATAGCGTTTAAACCTACTCTTCTCAAGGAAATTACTTTATAGTTTTAAGAAATTGCAATAATACTTCTCCCTATAATGATATTCTAAAAGCAATTTGAAGAAATAACAAAAGCAATTTGAATAATATATTTTCTTCAGTAAACAAAAAGATAATACTTTACAATGTATCTAGATCACTGTATAAAATATAGCACTAAGTAGTATTAAGGAAAATCATCTTAGTGATCATTAAGAGGATGCCAATAACGGGAGAAAGAATGCGAGACTTCAAAGGAAGGTCTAATCTGGATTTTACTAGTGATATACTTCGCTAGTTTCAAAATTGTGTGTAAATTGGATAATTAATTAGTAAGGTTCCATCTAACGTGAAAGGATGAAGGCAAAACGAGATTCGGTGGTGTAAATTAGGGAAGTAATTGGTCATTCCCAAGGCAACTCTCCCTTGCCAATTCAGTTACTGTTTAGGAACTTGAGGAAGTTGGATTTCCGTTTAGAACAGGTTGAAATCGGAGGTTCTCGTATTAATCAACTTGCTGCCTGAAGCCGACCTTTCACTGTTCTCTTGGACAATTAATGATCTTAATCTCGAGAGCGTGAATGCTGTCAAAAGTTACCTTAACATATAATAAAGAAATACTTTAGATCATGATTATCTATTCATCAGAATATTTTAGAAAAAGATTTATTTATATCATTTTAAGTAGCTTAAGTAATTATTTCTGTCACCTTGTTCATTTAAAACGAAAAAAAATCATAAAATGTTACTCATTTCATTTATAATGGTCAATTTTTATAAAATATGTCAATAAATTATGCTGAAGATATTGCTGAAAGAATTCTTTATAAAATTACATGAAAATTATACAATAAAAATAAATTATAATTAAATTGTTTAATCGCAATTTGAATTTATTTAAGCAAAGAAAATTATGACAAAATATTAAAAATTTTTTTCCTTTTATAACAGCGAAACATTAAAAATTATGCTTAAAATAGTCATTAAATTGTTTTATTCATTAAAATATAAATTATACCTTTACAGTTTTTAAGTTTTACTAATTTATCACATCAGATTGTGTGAAGGTTATTCATCACACGTTTCTGATACTTAAAATTATGCTAGAGGCACCATATCGGCTTCATGTCGGTACGTTAATTAAGGTAGAAGAGTACAACGTATGAGTACCTTACCTTCACTGTAATATAATGGCTGCTCTTACAAATATATCAATTTTCTGGATATTTAGTAAATTATCTAACGTATTATTTGGAAATATTATAAAGAATATTTTTATTTTCTTACATATTTTTGTTTTTAAGTGTAATAAAAACTATTTTCATTTTTGAGATGGGTTATTTTCTGGAATTCTAGTAATAATACTTGTTTAAATAAGTAAAATAAAACAAAAAATAATAAGAAGAAGAAAGAAATCAATTGAAGGCGATTTTCTGGTGAAATATTTTTGTAGGAGCAAAAGGAAGTTTATATATGTGTTGTGGGTTAAGCTGTTAATAAATAACAAAAACAGACTTTCTTTTCCCCATTTTCTATCGTGAGTTTTGATCTTTATAAGTGTGGAAAAACCATTCTTCAACACAATATTTTCTTTTGGATTTTCTCGTATAAAATTCGCAAAAGAATGAATAATTTTACTCTGAATTACAATCATTGTAACCTGATATCTAATTGATCATTTTAAAAAGTAAAAAATAAATCATATAATTTATTAATTATTAATAAAATTATCAACGTTTGCTGAAGAGAAACGATTTATTATTTCTATCAAATTAATTGTTTGTAGAAAAAATAAAAATTTAATTTAATTTTCAGAAATAAAGAAAAAATTACGAAGAAGGAACAATAAAAATTTTATAATGTATTTAAATTCCAACGTGACATAAAAGATAAACTACAACGTTTAGGAATGCTCAAATTTAGAAAAAAAAAGGTAGATGAAAAAGAAATTTTCTTACTTGTAACACTTTTTCTTATAAAATTTAATTGATAAAATTCCATTTAATTGCATGTTCATTGATAAAAATGCACTCGATTATTGTCTTATCTGTAATTTATGAAATGCTATTTTTTGTCACCCTCATAAAAAGATTATGACAAATTCGAGATTATTTTCTAATTCTAATCAAATTACAGATAAGTGTGAACATTTTGTATTAATAAAATAAGATATATTATATAAAGAATATTTTTTAAGTCCGGATAATGTAAGATAAGGATATAAAATGACTTATGTGCTTAAATGAATAAAAATACATCTGTAGAAAAGTGGGATGCGTGACATTTGAAATCCTTCTTTGTGGAAATTTTCCGGAAATAAGTTTTTTGATCATTACTATCATAAAGAAAGCAATCAAAAGTTTCAAAGTTTACATTAATAAATTTTGAATTTTTCTTTTATTTTTTCTGAAAATAAAGTTAATCAAAGTTTCTCTTGTTTGCTTTAGAAATAATTAAAAATATACCATCCTCTTGATATTATATCTACCCATCTAAATATATNGAAATTATAAAATATTTTGTTTTAAACTTTATATTTTATATTTATTTACTTCTAATACTAAGATGTTAATAAAGTTATAAAGATGAGATAAAATGACGGTTAAAAAAATTAATTTACACTTTTTAGGTTAATTTAAACTGTTTAAATACTCGTATTTAAAATAGATAATTTTTAGTGAACAGGAATTAAATCATTTACCTTACATTTTCAGTTATATCTAAAGGCTGTTTATCTTTCAACCAAACAACTGTAAGAGGTCTTTCTCCAAATGCCTCACATTTTAGCTTAGCATCTTCACCTTTTTTAGCGATCTCGGCGTGAAATTTCGATTTAAAATGAGCAGCAACTATAAAAAAAATACCATTTACATTAGCTTACAACAAAATTCAATCAACGCAGTTTATGCAGACTTATAATCCTAATAAAATATGCATCATAAAACTATGTATATATATATATATATATATTTATGCAGAGAAAATTTCTTACTGTGGACGTCAAGTTTGATAACTTTACTTAATCCTGAATCAATTCCGTTCGATGCTTGACATAAATAGTAACCGGAATCATCCGTTTCTACTTCCAAAATTGTTAAGGAACCATTTTCAAAAACGTGTAAATGTGAATTACTGCTTATTGGTTTGTAACTCTCAGGAATATTTCCTAGAGTAAGTAAATTATAATTGTAATAATTATCGTAGACAATATATAAAAATGAGAAAAATATTCAAGATATTAATTTTAAGGTTAAGTTACCAAATAATAAATTTTCTAACCTTCTGCTCTTCTCCAACTTAGCCTTGGAGGAGGAAATCCATCAGCCTGACAGTCTATAGTCACACTTCTCCCTTTAACTACGCTGAGATCCCTTGGTTCTATCTTCCATCTTGGTGGTACTAAATGAACAAATATAGAAAAATAAAATACGTTTTCAATCTTATATATAATATGCAATTAATAAGAGAAAAAAACCACTACATGTAACATTAAAAAGATTTAATGTAGTTAATTACTATTACATAAATTAAAAGAAAAATTCACAAGTTATATTTATTATTATATAACAGTAAGAACATTTAAAATATCACAAAGATACTTAAAAATAGATTATAAATATTTTTAATGTTTATCATAATTTTTACTTTCATTTTCGCGTTTAAATGAATAAATTATTTATGAAGGAAAATAATCTCTTCGAAATTTAAATTTATTTACATAAATATTAATAGTATCGTATTTAGTTTTTTAATTTTAACATATTTTTAAACATCTGTCGCTTCCTTTTATTAAAAAAAAAATGAGGAGAAAGATAAAGAATTAAAGGTATGTACTGTATTTTACTCATGCAAAAAGTACGAAATGAAATTGTTTACATTTAAATATTGTTTTATAAAAGTTATTAATTGTAGTAAAAATAATTTATTTTTGTATATTTTATAGTATTATATAAATAATTTTTTAAATTTATATTCCTTCGAAAATTTTGAACAATAATTTTTCTTCTATATACTTTCAAGTAGTATATAAAATGTTGTTGTAATAAGATACCATATTATCTTCTTCCTTTATATAATATTACCCATTAAACAACAAAACGAACTACTCTGGATATAAGTTTCACATTATAACAACAAAATTAATGATTTATATATGTAAAATGTAGTAAATCCCTCGATATTTCAGCTTTAAAATGTTATCTCTCAGTTTGATATTCTAAATATAGAAATAAAAACCTCAAAAAACGTTCGTATTTTGTGATTTAAGAAATAAATGAATTCTCTCGTGTATATTTTATCTCTTTATAGATTATATTTGAAATACTAGCTTATTTCTATAAGATCTTTACGAAAGCAGAAAATTGCCAAGAGACTGAATGACGTTTATTTTTATCCACCTCTATAGATCCCATTGAGTCTGTTTGGAGTTAGAAGTTAATCACTTCTCTAGTTCTTTAATGATGTATTGTGTTTGCATTTCCTTAATACAAATTCAAATGTTTACGATATTTTCTTTGAAATATTTATATTAAATAGAATGACATTTTTTTTAAATATAAGATTTTACTTAAAAGACGATCGTTTAAGCATGAAAAACATTATGTAATCTTTTAAAATATAATAAACTTATCATTTATATCTTCATTTACAATTATATAGACTTAATTTGTTATATTTTACACAACAGTTTTATTTTAACTCAAGGGTTTAAGCTGAGCAAAACAAAGGATGAGGAAGAAAATAAGAAAGAGGAAAGAAGGTCCATTAAATTATGTTACATAAAGTAACATCTTTACTATAAGGATATAGTGAGACTGTTATATATAGTGGGACAGTATAATTATTGTATTTATTACTGTATAATTTTAAATATCATAATAATTAATTTTCCCATCGAATAATAAAAGACCCCGAGTAATTTATCGACTTCCCCCAGATAAATCGATTGATCTCTCAGGGGGTATTCAGCTACTAGGTTGGAAACCCCAAGTAATAGTGTTAATAAATCTTTAAAGCATCTAAAACAAGCCATTATTTAGAAAACTACTTTAAAATTATTCCTTATTAATCTCGTTTTATTGATTTTTATGCATTCGAAATGTAACAATTCTTTAATGTCTTGTTTTCGAAGAAATACCTTTTTGTTTCAATAAAAGTATTGAATTTAAATGTTTTATTTTATTTTTATTATTTTACATATGCGTTTACAATTTTATACTTTTTATATAAATATTTAAAATAATGTAATTATATATTTATACAATAAAAGTTAATATTAAAAATATTTTATTTTATTAAANTATTTTTATTAAATAAAAATTAAATCAATTATCAATGAAATATAAATGCATTCATCTGATTTCATAAGGAATATTTACAAAAATTGTGCATTATAACCCCTTAAAATTCTTTATAGTAAACAAATTAATTAATTTTCTTTTTCAAAGAAGAGACAAAGATAATTCCTCATCATCATCATCATAATTTACGTTATTTTCAGTCAATTTACGAACGATTATAATATATGAAAATATTTTTATCTATTATAAATTGCACCAGCCCATTTTATTTATACAAAGAAGGTTTGTATTGATCAAGTTGTTATCATCAAGAGAATTGTACGCAACTTCATGATTTTATTGGTTTTTTTCCTCTAAAAAAATAAATTATTTTTTGAATTTTTCTTCTAGAAGAAAAAATTTTACTATAGAAAAGTCTATGAATAACACTTTTAAACATTAGTTTCATGTTTAACAACTGAATTTAATATGATTATCTGTAACTACACATGATATCAAGTAGAAATATAGTAAAGAAAGTTGTAAATCCGAATCGATACTGCCATATCGATTGAAAAATACAAAACTATCTGAAAATACAAAATATAATAAATGAAACAGTAGAAATGAATTGGTACAGAAATATATGACAATTCTAATATTCCTATAGCTACTATTGTTACCTTTCGGATTTTCAAATCTCCAACATAAACTTTCGTCATATTTAATATTTTTATAGACTGTACTTCATGACAGACAGCCTCATAAATAAAATGAGTGAAATGTGTTAGAGGATGTGTAAACTTTATGAAATTACGAGCATCAATTAGCTACTTGACCGCTTTCTGATATGTAGAAAGATTAGGTAAAATTGTGGTAAATCTCTTTGAAGAAAATTAAAAATTTCATCAATTAGATTCGAGTTACAAGACACTAAAAATAAATTATGATGTAATTATGTTATCACTGAAGATATCAACCATCTTTATTTAGATTCTTGATGAGAATGCGTTGCTATATTCAACTTAAATTATTATTATTATTATTATTGTAATCATTATAATTAAATGATTATAAAATTTTATTTTAAAAATCTATATCTAATTGAGATCAATTGTATATACATTACTGTTACTTCAGTCTTAATGTTATAATATAGTATATTAAGAAATCAATTAGTATGATTTTATCTGATTTATATTGTAGAATATAGTTATAGCTCAGTAAACCTGTGATTATTAAAAATATATTATTAATTTTCATTAAAGTATTTATAAACATAATGTAGAATAAATTCAATTACTTAAATTATGTAAGAATTTTGATTAATCTTAATAAGTTAAATGTTTCACATAAAACTTTTTACATATTTATAATTAAAATTTTACTGTAATTTAAACAGCTTCGTTTAAACTTGTAAATACATTCAATACATTAAATTCGAATTTTTTTATCGAGTATTTAGCAGTTGTTAAATCTATCTTAAGATCCTTAAATATCATAGAATAATGAGCTAAGCTTTGGACTATGCAGGAAAATATGGAATACAAAAAATGTTATATTGAATCTCAATATATTTTAAAACATAGATAGAATTATACAATACAATAATAACAATTTTTTAGTTAAAGAAATTAAACCAGCATGATTAATGTTAATTAATTATATTAAAAAGTAGAAACTATTCTTTAATTGTAAATGTAAGTAATAAACTATTTATTTTTTGAATAATACAAACGTTATAACATACGTTTTATTTATTAATTAATTAATTCTTAATTATAAAGAAGAAGAAAATATTATAATATATAATCGTTATTAAATATTGTTGCCTAACATTTAATATTAAATTTTATAATGTCAGATATCTTTTTGGAATGTAAATACAATAAGACAGAAATATACTTAATTTAATAAATTTGTTTAAAAGCTGTTAACGTTAAATGAATTTTATTGATATTTTAAACATCTTTATTTTACTTATATAAAGTAATATGAACTATATCATATACTCGATATTATTCCAGATTGGTAAACATAACTCAGATATACACGATGTTTAGTTCAGGGCAAGTTTATGTTGCGGAACACATCCAACAAGAAGTGAAATACGACACCCAACAGAACATGCTGATAGCAACCAATCATATTTCAGCAACTGGCTGTCAAAAATCCAAGATTACTTTTATTGTTTATGCTTATTGAAAGAAAACCCTACGGAATAAACATTTCAAAATTCCCATTTTTGACTAAGAAAAGTTTTAATAACTAAGAAAATGAGAAATTTTCAAGTTAATGATTCGATGACAGCTGAAATAAGATTAAAAATATAAAAGTAATTTTTATAAAGATTCATTAATCAATATTTGTGAACATTTTCATTATTATATAAGGATTACATTTAACAAATTGCATTATAATCCGATGGAAACAAGGAGAATTTAACGATTATTTAATTCTTTAATGAGTAATTAAAGTTTTGATAAATTAAAAAAAATAGAAACACGAAAAAAATTAACATGAAAATATTAAAGTAATCTTATCTAACACGCAATTTCTTCATTTTGGCCAAGAAAATTAGAGCATCCATTATTTTTACGATATCAATTTTTCAATATAGAACATAAAACGTAAATTTTTTACATCTATATTACTGTTCTTGTCGAGTATAAAGTTCGTATTTTTATGATTTTTATAGTAAGCATGGAACATCTGCCGATTTATTGATAAAGACAACAGCTGTATAGTAAGGTTATTCTTAATTATACACAAAGAATCAAACTCTTTCATTAAATTATTTTATAATATTAAAAGAACATCTGTTAAGAGTCTTAGGTATTTGAAGAAAAGACGAAAGAGGGACAGTTATTTATTATTTATGAAGATATTTAATTACCAAGAACAACAGAAAACACTAGTCGCTTAGATATCACTAGGTGATATAATAGCCCTACCGTGAATTACCATTGCTGCATTATGTTGAGCAATCCCAGCTTCGTTCTTCGCTAGACATGAATAGTTAGCTCTATGATTAGGTTTCACTGCCTCAAAAAGTAGAGTCGATGAATAATCTGCTAAATTATGAATTTTGATATCATTTTGCTTGACTAATGGTTGATTATCTCGTAGCCATTGTATTGTAATTGGTGGATCTCCCATAATGACTGTGCATGTTATACTAAAACTAAACAAAATATATAAAAGAATAATAATAATTGGATTTACAACAGAATAAAATAATGTAAACATTGAGACAACTTGACGCAACGAAATTACTAAGATATTCTTTGGATACAAAGAAATGATAATTTAAATACACGAAGTTCGTGAAAATTATCATTATATGTAGTAGATTTTTCAATAATGACCTTCATTATACAAAATATTTAAAGCAATTTTTCTTAAAATACGAATAGCTTAATTTTAAAGGATTTAAAACTCGAGAGAGGAAGCATAACTTTTACATTTTAGTGAAAAATGAGAGTGAAGTTGCGCTTTTGTCATTAAGAACTTCAGACTCTATCTATATCAAATTATAAAAGTCACGGAATATCATTTCCTTTCTGCCAAAAAATTTAATTGTTCGTAATTTTACTCAATTCTTTTCTTATTCACATTATATTTGTTGAATAATACATTCAACAGTAAGCGGGAAAATTCATAAAGTTTTCTTATAAACGATGCCATTAGAAGAAAAAAAAAATCAACATTGAGATATTATTTATAACGATAGTAATAGTTATTTGCTGAAGTATCCGAGTTGCAATTTATTGTGAATCTGCAATTTATTTTATTTTATTTTTTATTTATTTTTTCTTCGATAGAAACGAAGACCAAAAAAGTAAAGTAAATAAATAAAAAACAAATCTGCTGGTTTTGAATCTTGACCAATAAAAAGTAGAATAAAAGAGATCAACATGAAGATTTATTTGTAAATCTTTACGTTGATCTCTTTATTCTACTTTATAAAATTTTTTACTGTGGGTTTTTTACAGTTTTTATATTTTAGTATTTTCCAAACACTATTTTTTTATATCAAAACGGATGTAGAAATTGTACAAAGAGATTTCACTCTCTTAAGTTTTTAAAGCTATTCGTACACAATTTAATATTTATATAATAATATTAAATTTTAATATTCTTAGTTTCGACATACTTGGAGATAATAAATGGATTTTATACAATATTATTCTAAATATTTTATTTTAAATATTTTTAACAAAAAAAATGTTTGTATTTTTTTTTTAAAAAAAAAAAGCTTTGTTCGTGATTGAAAAAAGTAGTATTTTTTGAATGATTGTGCAGAAAATGGAAACATTTTACTTTTGACACATTTAGATGCCTTTCCATCAAAAGCAAGATAACATTCAATTTTACATTCCTGCAACCAATACTTGCATTGGGAAAAAGTATTGAATTTTCGGTATTATTGCTTTCAATTTTTGTACATTTTTATTCAAAATTTACAATTTAACGCTTGAAATAAGACAATTAATACTATTATATATTTATTGGAACTCCTTTTTTTATAATTCTTAATACATTTTTACAGTAAGAATGTGGTGCAAATAAGCATAAACAAATATAATACTTACAAGTAATTATTTACTTTGTTATATTATATATTTTTACTNGAGTATATCTTAAAAGACAGAAGAGTATATCAATATTTCTATACTTTAAATGCTTATTTTATCTATCAGTTTTAAAAAATATTTAATAATTTTCCATTCTTATGAAAGTTTAATGTAATTACCAGTTATTTTACTTAGTTAAATAGTCTTACAAGAAAAATCACGCTGCTCGCAGTTTGATACGTATAGGGACTTCCAGCATCGTAACACTCCCATGACTTACTTTAAATACTTATTTTAATAGTCAAGTCTTAAGTTTGTTTCTTAATTATGATTAGGTGTTTACACAAAAAAGAAATAATAATATGAATGAAAAAATGTAATAAATTTGATTTATTGATGTAAAGTATCTTCTCATTCGTTAAAATTTCACTTTATATTTATATTAAAAGAAAATGACAGATTGATGCTGTGATGTCAAGAGGCTAAAGATGAAGAGTGACGAGAAGATATTATTTGACATCTTGAAGTAAAACTTTAACTAAAAGGTTGAGGTTACGTGTCATTCGACAATCGAAAATAATGTGACTAATTCTTTCTATGAACATAAAGAAGTTTTTACCTTAAAGGAATTCAGGCTTTTTCAATATTATTAATGTATTTTTTAATGTACTTTTTTAAAATAAAATATTTACATACATTTTGGAAATAATTTACATGCACATTTCGCTACATTTTTTTTTTCATTTTAAACATGTTAAAACTCTTTTTAAAAGGTATTGATTTATAAATATATTTATATCATTGTACTGCACGTAGTTATATTGCTTTAAAAGTGATTTATCATGTCACTTAATTGATTAATCAATAAATCAAAAAATTCTGCAAACTTTTAATTAATCTATAATCTTCGATTTCTTTCCAATAAAATGTTAATTCAGCAAGTTTTCATTAAATAACTCAATATGAAGTGACATTTTTCAGGGTATGGATTTTAACAACCTTATAACTTGTTTTTTGGTCTTATGAATTTTCTAATCATTAGATTACATGATTTAAAACATAATTAATTATAAAAAATATTAAATTTTATGAAAATGAATATTAATATTTAAAAATATTTCTTTTCATTTCACGGATAATATAACAGATATATTAAGTAAAGTTAACGAGAAATAATATCTGTTCATATGTAGATCTATATATAATTTTTATTTATATATAAATGTTATCAAATT